GGACTTTAGGGGATAAAAGGGGTCCCAAAGCCCACCCACTCTGAGTCCTCTGAGTTGTCCTCTGAGTCGTCTGAGTCACCTTTGGATCCAGACTTGGCAGCTTCTGTCCCTCTAGCTAGTGCCTGGCAGCCTAGTTGGGAAGGACGTGGGTAAGTGTGGATGAGCGCGAGTCGTTAAGGAAAAAACAAAGGACCTGAACCAGAAAAAGGAAGTTGGGCCTGAGCACATGGAAACCCTCACCCCAATCCCATCAACTTGTAAATCAAGCCTAGTTGGGAAGGACGTGGGTAAGTGTGGATGAGCGCGTTTTGCTGTTACTTTAAATTCACTGGGTCTCCATGTATTACAAAGAACCTCTTGTGCCTCAGTGTTCGGTTGGAAGTGATTTGTGTGTATCCCTAATTATTTCCCGGCTATTGGCCAGGGCTGTGTGCTCCAGCCGCACCTACCTGGGGCTGTGTGTCTGCTGCTCCAGCCGCACCTATCTGGAAAACCCAGGTAGAAAGCAAGGGGGGCTGGCAAGATCCCCGTGCATCTACAGGCTGTGAGTGTGTGAGTGACCATAAGCCAAACCTGAGAGCAGCGTGTGTAACACTCCCTCCCCAATGATCTCCTAAAAGGCTCTTTTCATGCCAAGCATAGAGACCATGTCTGTCAAGTGCGGAAGCCAGAATGCCAGTCAATCTGGTTTCTCCACTTGGGAGTCTCTATGGCAATTGAGCTCTGCAAGAGAATGGATGAGGACAGATAGTTCAACAACAACAAGTAGAGACAAGGTAGAAACTGGCTAGAAGAGCCGCCGAAAAGTGGCACTACTACAAATGGGAACAATCACAAATTGCCACCCAGAAGGGTTGGAGGTGTGTACACTTGCAGTGGTCTACCCCAAAAACCTTGGAGGGGGAAAGAAGGTGCAGGCTGCCCTTACATGGGCTAAAGAAGTAAATCATTATTCAGTGGCCCCATAACGTTTGAAGGAGCCCTGGGCTCAGTCCCTTGCACTTGGCTTTAAGCAGTGGGAGGATGTACAGTACATCTGCAACTCCTCCTCTTCACTGCCTCTACTTCCTCTACCATTACCACTGTTTCCACCCATTTCCTCTGCTGAACTGGTCAGCAGCTATGGAAGCCATGCACCATTCTAAAGGAAAAAGGTATTTGAAATATAAGCAGCAGGTAATTGAAGGAATCAGATACTGCCCTTAAGAGCACTTACTTCATAAAAGTGCTTACTTCATGACAGCACTTGAATACCTTCACTACCTGAGCACCTATAAAATAGTGTCTCATTGACTTAGGAAGAGTGGGCTGCTGCTGTAGCTTTTAACTAGCTGGCCAGCGTAACACTACACTGTGCCCTGACTCCAAATCTTTAAGGTGTTTGGAGGCTTCCTTGGATTATGGGGGCCTAAGATTTGCATCCCCAAGTTCAGCCTTAGGGACATCACTGCGATCGATTGAAGACAGATATGCAACCAGCTCCAAAACTACCACTCAAGTGCACAATCATTAAGAAATTAAAACTGAAGTCTATTTTTGGAGGTAAGATTCATAACTATAAACATATTTAACCACACATACATACCAAAATATCAGTACTAGCAATTGTACTGAGCCTCAAGTACTCAACAGCTCTCTGCTGCAGCTCAACATCAGCGTTCTTTAGCTGGCTGTCACTGCGTAATACATCTTGAACAGTAGTTTTTATCTCAGGAAATAAATTTACAAACTTGATGTAAGTAGACAGAAGCAGTGCTCTAGTTGGGACACTGCACAGATGGAACTTTGAGTGTAACAGGTTGAACTGAATGAGAGGACTTGGAGAGGAGAAAGAAAACAGAGTCAAGGTTAGCAATCAATTCACAATGATTTGTTTGATGGGGAGGGAGAGGGAAGGAGTTCAGCATTAAAATCCTGAGATTACATTTTGAAACAATGAAATGTCTACTGCTGTACATTTTAGATTTCTAGTGTTTGCTGTTCTATTATTCAGTTCTAATGGTTTATACTGTTCTAATATTCAAACCAGGGGCAGGCAAACTGATGTCTGGGAATACAAATGTGTTTGTGGACACTTCCCTTGATACACTTTTTCTAATCCTAAACTTATTTTATTTTTTAAAGATTCTTTTGTTTTTTAAAAAATAGGATACTGGCATGCTGCAAATCAAATCTCTAAAAATAGCAGATGTGCCTACTACCCCAAATAGACTGCCTACCTCTGCTTTAAAGAGAGGAATAATCTGAATAAAATCTGGCTACACAGCTATCATGCTGGAGATATCAGTATCCTAGTTCTTAAGAGACAGCAATGGTATAGTGATTAGGGGGTTGGACTAGAACTGGGATACCTAGATCCAAATACACCCTTAGTCATATGAGGCCTGAAATGGCTCTCAGTGTGATTATGCTAGAGATGCTATTATAGTGTTTTTACCTGGATCTTGGATCCCCAGCAATCAAGTTTCCAAATTCTCCCAAGATGTAGCCACCCACTTTGACCAAGTTTTCATGGCATGCTGGTGCTTGGAGAGCCTGTTGAAAGAGATATTTGGGACCCATCAAAATATTACCAATTCAGAAAGTGGGTACATAACATCTAATGCAGAGGGAGATTTCTGCTATGTTTTGCCAGTTGAAAGGAAAAATACAGACTATTATGGGCATAAATAGTTAAACTGCTTTTAGGCTCCAAATGTACAAGGAACACAAACATTATAGAACCAGGAAAAACCATTTATGGGTAATCCGGGTGGGTTTTTTCCCCAGTCAAATATGTAGAGGTGTTCTTATTTGTACTTAGATCCATATTCTGCCTTTGGATTAGGACCCAGAAAAAGAAATAATAATTACGATTAATTTTAAAAAGCAGTTAATCCACAGGGCAAGATTCTAGCCCAAATCAACAAGTCTGTTCAAGGAAAGAAACTGCAAAGTTGGGAAAGACATTCGCCCACCCCCACCCCAAATTGATTGCACACTGTTTTTAAATGTTTATTAGCTATTCTTCAGCCAAAACTTTTAAAATAATTTATAAAATAATTTATAAGATATATCACAGGAGAGCAACTTCAGTTAGTAAACATCTTTATAATGCTCACTTATCTTTAGTAGAAAGTTTAGTAGAAAGTTAGTAAAAAGTTATTTAAGTTAAAATTCCATTCTTAAATATAAATATATATATGCATATACATATACATATACATATACATATACATATATACACATCTTTACAATTAGTTTAGAATTAAAAACCCTTTGCAGACAGTCACCTCAAGCTGCTGGGGGTATACCCTGTCCCTTCTTTTAACAATGTACTGAGTTGGGAGGAACAGAGGAAAAAAATAGGATAGAAATAGAAAACGGAGTTGCCTGCCTGCTTTTGATTCTGACTATTCCCTCCAATTATTTTGGCCCTACACACTGCTAACAAAAGATGGTCCTTGGGATAATATACCTTTTGACAAAAAAAAATGGATGATCCATTAGGGGTTAGACAGATGAAAGATTACTTGTTACCTGCAATAAGAATAGTTTCACTGTGTTGAGAATAGCATACAACTTTCTTGAAAGCTCCAGACAAGGTCTTATCACACACCTACAGGACAAGGCTCAGTTACAAGTATATGACTCGTAATTACTAGCTGACCTTGACAAGTGCCATCTGGCTTTTGATAGGGATAGTGAAGCTGAGATCTCTATGACCGGTAGTCAAGCCAGAAGAATTTTGTTTTTAACACTGGAGCCTGGGAGAAATAAGCCACATAGCTTCTCCTTAAGGTTCCTAGAGCCAAATAGAACCTTTAAAATGATAATGGGCCAATATGGAAGCTATGTCCCCAAATGAGGGAAGATTCTTGACAGGATGAATTTCTAATATCAGCTTGTCTCTCCTTTTGTTCCGGTATAGTCTAGTAGCACTACACATTCACACAAGCACAATACATTTTAACAAACAAAAGTCATCACACTGCAATAAACAAACCAATAAGCCATCAGCTACCAAATCCATTCCTCCTTTTTCTAGAAAACTCTTGTCCCATCCATCAAGAAATACTACTGTTAGACTACTTATTAATGTTTCATAGGTGGATACTAAAATTACAGACAATACTAAAGATACCAAAATTACAAACAAGTATTAGAGCAAGGTAATTAAAAAAAAATCAACTGAAAGAATAGTGCAAGGAGGAAGAAATATAATAAGTAAAATATAAAGTTAGAAGATCCATTTAAAATAGTTGGTTTCCACAACTACTTGGCTTTTATTCATGAATTACACAGCTAGTTAGTTTTTATTATAAATTACAGTGAGATGCCAGTAGGAAAAACTGCCAACAATAACCTTGTCTTACCTCAAACACTGTCTTTGCAGCATATCCTTGCACATCATCTCTATTAATTACTATTTGAATTACTCTGTACCACACTTCTTCACTGACATAGTCCCCGGCAATTCGAATCAAATTCAGTATGGTATCCACATACCAGGTGTAGTCTACTGCATACTTCTCAGCTAGAATTGCAACTTTGAGTACCTGGGTGGGAAAAAAGGAACGTGGGCATTTTCATCCATATGATAACAATCTTCAGTGCTTACCCTCCATCCAGAAAAAATATGAAAAGGGCAGTTTTTAAAGCATCTTATTTTATCAGTTACTAAAAGCAAATCGCCATTTAATTCAACACAAATTAACAGTTCTCCTTGCACTAATAGCGGGGCCTGATACTGCATAGTTTTACAAATATCCTAATCAAATGCAAAAAAAATATTTGACTATGATCAGTTTGTATACCCAGTTGAGTGAACTAAACAATATCGGCACCAGCTTTTTTGTTCAGAAGAAAAATGAAGTAGGGCTGCTCATTTTAATAGGAAGGAATACTTGCTCTAACACTAAAGTCCATTTATGACCATTCCCAAGCTGCCCACTTGTTAGCTAGTTACTCCTTTGACTAGTGTAGGGGCTAGAGCACCATATTTCAAACCTCCAACTGGTAATAATGATTTCTGCCCCCCAAACAAGTTTCTTATTGGAAATAATTTCAGTTGCCGTTGAAATTACTGTAGAAGTGAAAACTACGCATTTGTGGAGAATCATTTAAAATTCTTAAATATGACATGTAGCTCACCAGAACAAAATAAAACTCTGTGATGTCACATGCACAGCATACAATGTAAGCTCAGATCCATTTTTAAAAACTTACAATTTCTTCTCTAATAGAATAATCCGCTGTTTCCAGATAATTCAGCATTTCAGCTACAATTTGCTGGGCGTTGCTTCGGTCACACATGGCATACAGGAGATCCACCGCTCTCTGTCGTACACTGACATCTCTTTCTGTCTATAAGTAGCATCAGAGTTATGACACAAAAGTTTTGGAAAAAGTTATGAAAATAGCCTTCAAATGTGAAAGTGTACTATGACACACTGAGAATATTGAGATATTGAGAATTGGATCAGAATCAATAACGGGCAACTTTGTCATGACATCAAGAAGTCTAAATAGTACTTAGTGTTAAAATGCTATTAATGTACAGCGTCTGAAAGAGCAGTTTTATCGACAGTAGAGTTAAAGTTCCATCCATGTACAATGACAGATAAAGTAGAAAATAATTCAATGAATTAAAAATATGTATATATTGCAGAAAAAGATTCCTCAGAAAATAAAGTAGGGAAGAAAGAAAGAATAACGGCCAATATCTTTTCTTATCCAAAGATCCTTCTTGAGCTGGCTAGAAAATCTCCAGGATTACATGGGATATACCAACATAGTAATAGGGCCAGCTCTATAATGTAGTTGCTTAGACAGTAGCACTAGCAAAGCTGGGTGTCTTGCAGCCTGCCCAGCATCCTCCAAGCTAACTGATCTTTTCAGGTGCAGCAAAGGACAATATTCTGTCAGGCCTAGCCCGAGGAACTCCAGGAGACCATGCAAGTTCTGTTCAGCAATGTTTATTAGCTACAACCTCTATCAAGAATCT